CGCCGCGCGCCGCAACGGTCGGTTCCCTGGGCGGGGGCGGAGCCTCTCCTCACAGGAGGCGGGAGATCCCCTCACAGGGCGAAGGAGCCCGGCGGCGCTGCCGGGATCGCTGGCGCTTTTTCCTGGGCTGTCTCACCCTCATCCTAGGGTTTCGGATTTTTTTTTAAATGTGTGTGTATATATATACACAAACACACACTTAAACTGAGGGTTCTCCTGCCTACCGGGAGATAGCAGCTTTTCTTCGCAATGTCCTCCCACCCACCTCCAATCTAAAGCTTTAACATGGCTGATTTTCTTTCAAGTTCTCTCTAATTTGGCATCTCTGAAATAATATCACGTAGTAGACCAGGAAAACAAAACGTAAGAGGAAGCTCTGTAAGTGGTTTTCGAAAAACCCTTAATGTTCCCTCATTAATGCCGTTTGTAAAAGCCAGAGATAATCCCAGGTTGCATCCTACGACACCCTTGAGCCTCGGGGTCCACTTGGGACACCACTGCTTCTACAGCAATCTCCGTCAGGCGGCTGCAAATTGTGTGGTACGAGTAATAATCGTAATTTCATCTACATATGTTGGAGCTGTGTATTTTACACGCTTTGCCCGTAATGTGGGACTTGCGGTGTTTCACACAGGTGGTTTTCCACACGCTTGCAACAGGCAGTAGCTGCGTGTTTTGCTAGCCTCAGCATCTCGCTACTACAAGTATTTGCTCGTTTATGATGCCGAGTATTGACAAAAAACCCATGTCTTGTATTTCAAAGGCACCATGTGCTGATGAATGTGCCAGGTACTAACTGATACCTTAAAATGCACGGGGCCCTCAAGGGTTTCTCCAAAGGTAAAATGGGAAAAACAATCTCAAAAATAAACCGTAGTAAAAAAAACTTAAATATCAAAGATTGCACAAAGGGCATTAAACACAGTCTGTGTTCCTGCACAAGGAGAAAAATCGGGCAGAAAGATGGAGCAAACACACGGACACCACTGAGCTGCCAGCCCACATGCTGAGGGCAATGCGTCCTTCACGCGATGGGAGTGTCTGGGATTGACCTGAAAAACGTTTTATTCGAAAGATAAATTTAGCATGCAAACTGTCACCAGAGTTTACTGCAAATCTGCTTTTTGAGTTGAACTTCCGTTGGATGCTGCCTGGAAATCTTTCTATGCGCTGCTGTAAGGCTCTGGGAATTAGCATGGGATCATATTTTATCCACATGTCTCTTAACCGCAGATTCATACTGTTTTAATTTAAGGCTTTATTATAGGTTGCCTGTTTTTCTGAAGGGCAAACTGAAAACAAATAATTTCTGATGTCATAGGTCAGGACGATGGTTTGGATTGTACAAATATTTTCCGCTTAACTACGTGGCTGTTAATGCTTGGCTTTGTCCCTTAGTTGCAAGTCTTGATTTTTACTGGCTGCCTTTAAAAAAAAACATTTTATTATGCAGTTCTCATTCTCAATGTGCATAATTAACTAAAGAGTTTACCTTGTTTTGATTTTTCTAGCTTTGAATTTTTCCTGACTTCCCTATTTAGTGGCAACATTTTCAGCAGAACTGTACATAGGCAGCAAGCTAGCACGTGCAATTACAGTAAGCGCATGTACGAAGAATTCAGTTGGTTATGTATTTGAGACAAACACCTGTTTTGAAACCAGTATTTGAACCAAATACAGTTCACATTGGATGTGAAAACCTGGTGTACGTCAAAGCAACGTATTGTTCTAATGTCACTGTTTGACAAGGAAAGAGGCAGATTAAGAAACATGAAATATATTGAACTGTGGAGGAAGGGAGGTACAGGGAGTCGCATGGAGAAGCATTACGGATGGAGAACTTTGTTCTCCAGCTAGGTGAGGCCGAAGGGGGACGGCAGGAGGCCTGTGGAGCTGTAAGACGGGAGAGACAGCCAGATTTTTCTGCCCCTAAGGAGACGGCAAGCTCTGGTCTCTGGTGTGTCACAGGACCACAGAACCGTGGAGGTGGGAAGGCGCCTCTGGAGACCGCCTCAACCCCTAGCCCAAGCAGGGTCAGAGGGAGGAGGCTGCCCGGGATCGTGTCCCGTCGGGTTTTGAGTATCTCCACGGATGAAGACTTCACAGCCTCTCTGGGCATCCTGTTCCAGTGTTTGGTTTTAAGGTGACGGCCTCAGCAACTGGCTCTGAACTGCCCTGCTTTCAGTTCGACCTGACAGCCAAGACGGCCAATTTTTTGA